TACAAAGCAGTATGGATTAAAAATATTTTAAAAATTTGGTTTATTTATTTAGATTTTAAAAATTTAAATACATTTCTTTTAAAAATATATATAAATTTGAAATGATTAAATCTATATTAAGGCCTCAATTTAGTATAATCTATTAAAATAATTTAAAGTTAAATAAAAAATATTCAAGCCAATATTTGCTGCCAAAGCTTTAAAGAAAATCAAACCATTGAATTGGTGGAAGTCACTGGCTAAGGACATGAACCAGAATTTGTTGAAATGCTAAACCAGTTTTGACCGCAGTAGCCTCTTTTGCAAGTACAAAGAGAATACCATATTGTCTTCATTTCAGTTTATTTGACTAGTTCAGTTCAATGACTAGTTCATTTAAAGATAAGAAACGAAGTGGTTGAAAAAGCATGAAAGTTTGTTTCCGCTACCACTCTGAATAAAAATATGTGAGGGTGGGATCTACTAGTTTTAAAACCTTGAAGGACATGGTGACCCGAAGCAATCAGTTCAATACTCCAACTACAGAACTTTCTTTGTTTAAAAATAAACCAGTTTTAAATGCAAAACATGTTTTGCTACTTTCCTTATGTATCCCGCACATTTAAGGTTGTTTATTAGTTTACATAAAACTATTTTAAAATATTAGTTTTGTGAATTTTAATTGAATTCCAGCTTCCATCCAAATACTGCTTGACACGAGTTGCAATTAAAAAATTAATCTATTCAATAAGAAATGCATCATTAACCATTTTCTAACATAATTAAAAGGTAAAATTTAAGAATCTGAATAAATGTAATTTAAGGTAAATAATTACTTGTATAAAAAGCATGCATAGATAGTATATCCTAGTTAGCAAAAAAGAGTACCAAATTTAGTGTAAAGGTTATATTTAATTGCAAATCAGCATGTTTTAAGGAGGATCAACATCTCTTTAGGAAAAGTAAAAATATAAACCAAGATTAAAATTGATGTTTTAAATCAAGGTTTCCTGTTTGTTACATAAATAATAAAATCAGCACTTTAAATCACTTTGATTTAGATCAATCCATCCTGTTACAAAGAATGTGCAAAATCCTGTTTCCCTGATTATAGTAAGAACAGACAGCATGCCTTCCTTGTTCACTATTTCCAAATGTGCCCTCTAGTCAGTTCTGTGCACCAGGAGCTCTGTGTCTCTGACCTCACTCGGGGCCATGCTTGATTGTTTCAATTGCTGCATCCTGGCTTTCTGCATCTAACACACAGCTTGACAAACATTTTCCCAGCCCTCCTGCTTGTAACCAATCCCAGGGAAACCCCTCACACCACATGGCTTAGCCCTGCTCAAGCTTTGCCATCTGCTGAAGACACTGGGCCAATAGCCTCCTACTGTTTCCAGCTATCACTACATAAAGGAGTATTAATTACTCCTTCCACTTAGACTGAAACAAGGGTGCTTAGTTCACCAATTGGCTTTAACCAGGTCTGCAACTGTCTGCAGATCAAAGATGACAGCCATTGAGTTCTTCCAGCACAACAGTATAGAAATATAGTTGAAATTTGAAAAATAGTTTAAAAGCAGGTGCTGCTGCCGCTACTTCATTGTCTCCCTTGCTCCCCTTACCAGATTGAATACACCATCCCTTTCAGATAACACAACTCTCAAAACTACCAAGTCAACACCCTTGTGATGGCTTGGATCACAGAAACCCCCCTGGGAGCTGCCAACTGATGTGCCAAGACTACTACTGCTCCTGTTTTCCCTGCCAGCTCAGGACTCCAGCACGCTGTCTAGCTGCGCCAGACACTCCCATCTGCTCCAACGAAGACCCAGGGTCTGAATTACTTGCCCCAAAGCTGCAGATTTACCTGAAAATAGCTCACAGAAGTCTGCTTGTCTTTAGCACTCAGATGCCCAACTCCCAATGGGGTCTAAACCCAAATAAATCCGTTTTACCCTGTATAAAGCTTATGCATGGTAAACTCATAAATTGTTCGCTCTCTATAACACTGATAGAGAGATATGCACAGTTGTTTGCTCCCTCAGGTATTAATACATACTCTGAGTTAATTAATAAGTAAAAAGTGATTTTATTAAATACAGAAAGTAGGATTTAAGTGGTTCCAAGTAGTAACAGACAGAACAAAGTAAGTCACCAAATAAAATAAAATAAAATAAAATAAAATGCGCAAATCTATGTCTAATCAAACTAAATACAGATAATCTGACCCTTAGAGAGGCTTCAGTACGTTTTTTCCTCAGACTGGACACCTTCCAGGCCTGGGCACAATTCTTTCCCCTGGTACAGCTCTTGTTCCAGCTTAGGTAGTCGCTAGGAGATTCTTCATGATGGCTCCTCTCTCTTCCTGTTCCGTTCCACCCCTTTATATATCTTTTGCATCCTGCGGGAACCCTTTGTCCCTCTGGGTTTCACCCCCCCCTCACTGGAAAAGCACCAGGTTAAAGATGGATTCCAGTTCAGGTGACATGATCACATGTCACTGCAAGACTTCATTACACACTTGCCAGCACACAGGAAGACTTACAGGTAAAATACAGCCATCTGCAGACAATGGTCCTGGTTAATGGGAGTCATCAAGATTTCAAACCACCATTAATGGCCCACGCTTTGCATAATTACAATAGGCCCTCAGAGTTATATTTTAGATTTCTAGTTTTAGATACAAGTGGTACATTTATACAAATAGGATGATCACACTCAGTAGATTATAAGCTTTGTAATGATACCTTACAAGAGACCTTTTGCATGAAGCATATCCCAGTTACATTATATTCACTTATTATCATATTTTTATAAAACCATATAGACTGCACAACGTCACAACCCTTTCTTACAAATCCAAAATCTTCACCCCTTGGAGTGGGGACTCACATGCCATCCTTTACCAAATAAACAATTTTACCCCTCTACCTCCTCCAAGAGTTCTCAGGTCTCTTTATCAGCTCCTTCAGCACAGGTCTCACTCAGAAGAGGGAAATGATTTATAGACCTGCCTCTGTTCCCATAGTTTCCATGATCCTTGAGATCTACAACTCCAAAAATGCCTCTTTCTAGGCTGAAATTAGTAAAAGGCCTGCATGTAATAGGCCAGCATGCCCTGTTACAACCATAAAAAGCCAGAAAATCCCTAATTTAGTCATCACCCTTGCAACCTAACCCAGCATTTTGTTTTCTACTCGTTATCTCACCCAAAATAGCATGCCTCCACCTTCACACAAGATGGCCATCCTTTATCTCTTGCTGCGTAGAGAGGTTAAAAATGGAAGTTGAACTGAAATAGAAGGTTTACGTTAAATTGTAGATTTTTAGTTGATGGTTATGTTGAAGCGTGATGTGTAGGAAGATTGTGATTAGAAGGATTTTTTTTTAATGTGGACATAGTTTACAATCGGGTTTCTTTAAATGTGCCAATTATAGTATCTGCATCACGGGGCCTCAAACCTCCAACATGAGACTAACTAGAACACCCCTAGGGAAGTGCCTCCTCAGTCCATCCTACTGCTGGGCTGTAACTTCTGTGCTGGGTTTCTAAATGGTACAGCACAGTTTTATATCTGGTCTTCCCAAAGGCCTGTGCAACCCCTTAGGCCCCTAGAACTCCAGGCAATGTGCCAGCTTTGCCTGCTACTGCCGAGCCTATCTCCCTATAGTCTTTGGGATGAATGGACTAGTGAGCAAGCTGGCATGATCAGAAAAACAGAAGAAGGTACAGAACTTGACATTTCCATCAGCTACTCTCAGTGCAGCTCAAACCAGCTATCCTGAATCAAAGGACTGACTTTTTAAAAAAGTTCAGAAGTAGCTTATGCTATGTCCAATGTATCCAAGTAGGAGAATTTGTAGGATTGTAGGAGTGAGGTTGTTTAGCTAGAGTAGCCCAAAGAAATGTGGGCAAAAAGGGAGCATTTGAAAGCATTTTCTCTACAATAGTAAATATTTTCCTGAAAAAAATTATGTAGACAAATCAATAAAACATTATTGTGCCAAATGTGCAGACTAAAATCAAGCATTGAAGTGTAAACCAAGGATTTTAATCCTGCCCTAAGTGCAAATCTCAACACAACCTTAATTCTGCAACTGCTGCAGATGCCTTTATAATTTGGGCTCATACAATGTAGTTTTGAAGCTAGTAAAATAAGGCTCATCCCACCTCACTTGGTCTTAAATCTGTTTATAACACTGAAAGCGATAAAGGAAACTATAAAGTACTATGTGTCAAATAACACAGCTTTTGTAGTGGCTTTGGCTATAGAAGCCAATTACATTTTATTGATTTACCATTAGCGGTAAGAATGTTTATCATCATAATTGGTATTATCTTGATACTACCTGTGTCACTGTTAGGAAAAATTACCCAAGTTGAACAGAATTTAACTACCATATATAACTCCCTCTAAAGTCAATAGGAACTGAATTGCTAAAGTACAAGCACCTCTGACAGTTTAGAAAGCAACTAAAGGTATATTTTAACTATTACACAAGTTAAAATAGTTATTAACTTTTTAAGAGCATCTTGTTTTCTACATGTCCTAAGTGTATAGGGCTATGGAATATTCTGATGTGGTTCCCTTGGTCTCCTCTGTTGAACCTGTTCCACTGTGGATAAATAATTAAAACATCCATAGGAACAGGACGACTAAATTCTGGGTCTCTCAGGTCAGTGCTTTACAGAGCACAGAGTCAGGCTTCTGCTTGTGCTGTCGCTGGCCCAATGATTCTTCCATTATTCAGTTACACTTCAATAGCTTCACTACTGGGCCAGAGAGAGAGAGAGAAAACATGGGAATGAGACTGTAGCCTGGTGGTTAGAGCACTCGTGTGGGAGACCCAAGATCCAGTCCTCATGCTCCAATGATTTTTTAAAATTATTTATCCTCCGTGAAACAGCTTAAATAGATGAGACTGAAGGAGCCCCACATCAGAACATCCTATATTCCAGTGGTTAGAGTACTCACATGAGAGGTGGCAGATGCCTATTCAAATTCTTTCTCTTTCAGGTAAAGGGGGTCTAGAACTGGATGTCTCCCACATCTCAGGTGAGTACCAAGAGATGTACCAGAGCAGTATCTCAGGTGAGTCCTCTTCTTTCCCCACCCCCACCCTGCTGTTTTGTATAAGCTCACCTATAGGGGCCCAAGCTGGTAGGTGAGATCTGAGCATGTTTGCTTGTCTGGGCCTTGCCAATAAGTTAGGTGGAGGAACACCCGTCTTCGCCAATTCATGACTCGCTCTGGAGTTCAGGTGTCTGGACACTTGGTGCGGTGAGGCAGTGCACATTTGCAGAGGCAGAAATGTAGGCAGCTTGGGAACTTTTAATGCATCAAATGAGTTTAGGTGCCTATAGGATTCTGGGCCAATTGAGTAGGGGTTTTGTGAATACCAGTGGGGTCTGATTCTGGGATTTAGGTACCTAAAGTGGAAGTTAGGTGCTTAAGTCCTTTTGTAAACCTAGATCCTAGGGCCAGATTCACAAAGGTATTTAGGCACCTAAAGATGCAAATAAGAACCTAGGGGATTTTCAAAGGTACCTAACTCCTTAGGTGCCCATCTGTTTTTTAAAACCCAACTAGGCATCTATCAGAATCTTTAGGCACCTAAATACCATTACAAATCTGGTCCTCAATTTCCAGTGAAAGTGGGGTGTCTAATTCTCTTAGGGTTTGTCTACCCACAGAAGTTATACTGGTTTAACTAAAACCATCATAGTTATACCAGTACAATCCCTACTATGGATGAATGTATAATTGTATAAAGGTGCTTTATATTAGCATAGCTATTCCCATATGGGAAGAATAATAAGCTAGACCAGTATAAGGTGCTTTTATACCGGTATAACTGTGTCCACCCTAGGGGTTGTACTGGTATAACTATTCAGTTTTTAAAAAACCAATGACGGTTATAACCAGTACAAAAATTGTGTGTAGAATAGGCCAAAGTCTCCTTTGAAAATCCCAGCCTAAAAGCATCATGGTGAGCCCACTGCTTTAAAAAGCTTTTGGGGGGGGTCATAGAGAACCTATTTAGATTGACATCTTGATAATCTTCTGCCAAAGGCAAAGATTAGAAACTGGAGAGAAGATCTCCGAGAAAGTAAAGACTTTCAAATCCACTATGTTTTGTTTTTTTAAACATCTTTCCATTTGGATCAAGACCATTTAATGACATAACAATAGCCACACTGAGGAACAGTCATCTGTGAACAATGGCAAAAAGTATCCCGTCCTTGATGCTACTGATCTACTGGCAAGCTTTTATACCATTGAAAACGGGGTATTGATGGGTAGGTTGCAACATTTGGCAGTAGTGCTCAAAACAGCTCTTCAGTGGTTGAGCTCATTCTTATTACAAAAGGCCTCAAAGCTGGTGATGGACACTTGCCATGTCATCACCTGAGTTCCCTTTATGGGGTGCCACAATTCCCCTGACCTCCAATATTCAACATCTGGGCACACTCTTTAAGAAAGATGTGAACAGACTGGAAAGAGTTCAGATGAGAGAGAGAAAAATATCAAAGGTTTAGAAAACATGACCTATGAGGAATGGTTCAAAGAACTGGGCATGTTTAGTCTAGAGAAGAGAAGGCTGAGGAAGGACCTGATAAGTCTTCAGACATGTTCAGGGCTAGTTTAAAGAGGTTTCAAAGAACAGATTAGACAGACACCTGTCAGGGATGGTCTAAGTATACTTAATCCTGTCTCAGTGCAGGGGGATGAACTAATGATGTCTTGAAATCCCTTCCAGCCCTAGTTTTTTTTTATGATTACATAATTTTATATATGAGAATACTAGGAGATATTGTAAAGGATTGTAGTGGGCTGAGATATCACCAGTGATACACAGCTGCTTGTCTCTTTACCTGTTGAGCTGTCTCAACTATCTCATTAACCTGTAGACATTTTTTGCTTGGGTAAGAGGCAACTGGCTCAAGTTCAATCAGAATTAAACTGAGGCAATTCAGTGAATTGAGCAAAATGCCTATAGGAAATTGGGAGATTTGTGCACTCTTCTTTTTGAGGTGCAAGGTCCAGAATTAAGGAGCTTCAGCATGGAAGTCCATATTGCACCAGTACCTCAGATTAACTGTTATCATTTCCACATACTCCAGAAGCTGTCCTTTTATCTCTCTTTGTCCTCAAGACAAGCATTCAGCATTTGGCTAATTTGCTCCTACTTGGACTTCAATTTTGCTTATTGCATAGGATGTTGTGAGGATTACTTAATTCATGTTTGTCTAGTGCTTTGAATATGGAAAGTGCTCTGCAAGTGTTCTCAGAAGCTGCAGAATATGGTTTTCCCCTCATGAAGGAGGCAAAGGCATTAGTAACATCTGCTACCCTCATTCTGTCCTCAGTCTAGCACTTAAGACATCCTGCTCCCCTATGTTTCTCTTAGGCAGTTAGATGTCCTTGTTGTCAGTTCTGATTCAGGATATTGATTTAAGGGACTTCCTGAATATATTTGGCAGAGTTCTTCTGATGCAGTCTTTAAGTCTTGGTATGAAGCCCTTCGATCTGGGCCAGTTCATTCTTGGTCATGTCTCTTATTTTTCACAATCTTTTCTTTTTTGGATAATTCTCCTTCAAAACTCCAAATCATCACAACCCACTTTGATGTATTTTTTAACTGGCCAGATCCTGGGCCTTTTCATTTTTAGCCATTTTGAGTCTTTTTTTTTTTCCCCTAAAATGTCTAGTATCTGATGCCTCTGATGGGAGCTTTATAAAATATAAAATAGCAATATATAATATAAAAATGAGCAATTAAATAAATTACCATCAATAATGAATATTTTATTGAAGACAAGGAGAAAAGATTTTCAAATATTATTCTCTCCAAGTATTTTGCTCTCTGGCTGCATTACATGAGGCACAAATCTGAATATCAGTAGTTGTGTGCTAGTTGACATCTGTGGTGTCTGGATGTGGCTGGTCATGCTTTTCATTTTTTCAACTAATTGAACAGAGTTATCCCTTAAGCGACAACATCTTGTGGGTCTAACACTTACTTTCCCCCCTGAGTCGCTACTTAGACTACCTGCTGCATTTTTTCGGTTATGCCTCTTCAAAGGATCTCCACTTGCAGGGACTGTCAGTGTAAAGGAACCAAAATGGATTACAAGGAGAGGAGAAACTCAGCACTTTAAGCCACAATGGGGCTCTAATCTTATAAAGATGTGTACATATGGTACACTCATCACTCTGGATAAAGGTTTTTCATATGCATTTTCCATTAAAGCAAAAGACACCGACATAAACCCGTGTGCATCCAGAGTGTAGAAACACAATAGTATCCTGTAGGAATAGCAGTACATATTAGTAAAATGCCCCTACTCCTACCAGATTATTCATGAGGATTATAAATAAAACAGCCTCACATCATTTCCAGTGGCATCCTGACAGACATCTCCTGACTCAATGAATTGCTGTTTACTAGTTATCTTTATTTGCAATCCTTTTTCAAGTTTTCAGTCCACTGTATTTAAAATTTTGCAAAAAAGTTTAATTGCAATATACACTGCTGCATTCCATTCATCCATTCTATCTAGTAATTCAATCAAAATAATCTAGTTAATCTGGCATGATTTGTTTAGTAGACAAACATATTGTTCATTAATCATAATTCCATTGATTTTCAATGGGAGTTAGGAGCCTAACTCACTTAGGTGCTTTTGTAAATCTTACTAGACCCTTACCTGCATCTGTACCTCTATGCAACCTAAAGTCCAGTCCACAAGGTAAACAGAGACCGGTGTCTAGTGGGATTTTCAAAAGGTCCTAGGAGGGTGCGGGGCCCAGGACATTAGAAACTCTTCTTCCTGCTCCTGCCCCACCCCCACGCAGTTCTGCCCCCTCCCTCGAGCGCGCCACATCCTCGCTCCCCCCCCTCCCCTCCAGCACCTCCTGACGCCACAAAACATCTGATTCGCGGTAGGCGCTGGGAGGGAGGACGAGACGCTGATCGGCAGGGCCCGCTGGCGGGTAGGAGGCACTGGGGGGAGATTCTGGTAAGGGGCTCCTCCTCGCCCCCCACCGCTGCTCGCCTGCCCACCTCATCTCCCCACCCGCGGGGGTCCCCACAGTACAGGGCCCGGGGTGGTTGCCCCAATTCGCCGTACCCAAGGGACAGCTCTGGTCTTAGGCACCCAACTCCCGGTGACTTTCTAATAGGCACTTTTGAAAATCCCACTAGGCACCTACATCTTTAGGTGCATAAATACCTTAAAATCTGAACCTAAGTCCCTTTTGAAAATGAAATTTAGGCTTCTAAGGCTCTGTCTGCACTAAAGACTTCTTCTGCCATAGCTGTGTTGCTCAGGGGTGTGAAGAGGTGTGATCCCTGACCGACATAGCTGTACTGGCAGAAACCCCTAGTACAGATGCTATTATACCCACAAAATTGTGCTTTTAGTTTGCTTATGTGGGGTGGTTTTACTGAACCAGTACAAAGCACAGCTTGGCCAGTATAGCTGTGTCCACACTAGACACACTTTGCCAGCATAGTATACTGGTATTCCTGTATAGGTAAAGCACTCCAAGTGTAAATATGGCCTGTGCTATTTAGGTGCTTTTGAAAATGTTACCCAAGGTCCCTGTCCTGAGGAGCTTGTGAAATTTCAGTATTGCCTCCAAATAATTGCAACCACATTTCTATCCCCATCAAGTACTGAGCACATTTAGGAATTGTGGTTTAAATTCTCAGAAGTGACCAATGATTTTAGGTGTCTCAAATTAAGACACCTGTAAAGGGATCTGATCTTCAAAGAGGATCCCTGCTCAATGGTTTCTGAAAATCAGGCTTCTTCTAAGGTGCTTCAAGTTGGGTACCCAACAATTGATGTACTCAAAATCAATAGTCCCTTTTGAAAATTTCAGCCTATGGCTATTGAAATTAAAGCAAAAATTACCTGAAAATTGTATATCTGCCAGGCTGTAGCTGCAAAATTATCTAAAAAGTACACACACAAAATAAAGATCTGAAGAGGTCCAAATTTTCACCCTGGCCTCTATATTAGCATCCAGAAAAATGGTAGTTAGATATGAGTGCCCAATCAATCTATTTGCATACACAAATT